TGTTTCTCTTTAGAAAAAGGATAGTTTTTCAGTTGTATTTGATATGGACCCCAATTTAAATAAGCTCTTCTAATTTCATCTCTTTGATTCATAGGATATTCATGTATCTGAAGACGTTTTCCTGGGTCACGCTCCAAAGAATTAATATTAAATTCATTGGTTTTAATTTTATGAATCTTAGAAAGGGGTTCTTCTAATTGAATAATTGGATCATCAATATCATGCTTTGAAACAGGAGAAGATGTTGAATTTGTTTGGTTTTCATCTCTACAAGTATCTCTTTTATCACTTTAAAAAAATGAATCTATTCTTTTATGCTTCATATCTAGAGAAAAATGAATCTATTATTAATTTTCTAATTGTAGAATCATAAAAATTTATAAAAAACAAATATAGTTTTCTCAAACAACAAATGTTCTTCAACAAAAATCAAAATAACAAACAATAATAGAATAAGCAGTGAAAAGATGAAGAAAAAGTACATTTGAAAGTACAAACTACAAAAATAACTTAATATTAATCAATCAATATTACCATTTGTGAGTGAATATGAAAAGGTGAGAGAAGATGAAGAACTACTTTTAACCTTTCTTATTTAATATATTCTTTAGAAATTAGAGAAGCAATTAAATACTAATAAAATATTATCGTTAATGAGAGAATATGAAAAAGTGAGAGAAGATAGAAAGGTCGGATAATAAAATTATTTTTAATCTTTCTTATTTAATTTATTCCTTCAATTTTTTTCTTTATGATATATTTAATATGGGGGGGCAAAATCATAAATATACAAGTAAGTTACAAAACTTTGGGGGGGCCATGACCCCCTTAATTACTATGAAGATCCGTCACTACACAATGCTCCTAAACTAGTAAAGATTCATCTTTTCACAACAAATTCTACATGCAAGCCCCCTAGGAACCACATGCAAACCTAAACCTTAAACATGCAAAATGGTCTAAAATTAGAAAAGGAAAAACTTACTCTATTCAAAATTTTGATCACATATAATTAATCTCTTCTTCTTCAAGAGCACTAAGGTGCGCTTAGATCTAGAAAAAGATGAGAAATGGGGCAAGAAATTTATAAAGAAAGCAGAAAAAAAGAGTTGTAGAGAGATTGTGATTTTGTGATAATGAAGTTTGAATGTTTAAACTTTTTTATTTATAATTCATTTTAGCTTACATGGTAAAACTTCAGACTTATTCCGCCTATATCACTTTTACTCTTAACTCGGTTAAGCTAGATCCTTATATTATGTAAATAATCAAATATTTTCTTGTGCGATTTATGAAATTAGATATAATAAATGTAATAAAATATGTAAATATGATATAATTATGAGATATCTTTAAAAAAATATATGTATTGTGAAATGTAAACAAAGTTGAATATATATATATATATATATATATATATATATATATATATATATATATATATATATATATATATTTTGTGGTGATGATTAGATCTCCATTTGGTGAAAATAACAAATCTTAGTTACATATTATAATTTATAAAATAAGATTATAATAATTTTATTCAATATATATCCATAAATAAATATAAATATATATTATATTAGATGCAATCAACATTTTAAAAATATAATATTAAATGCAATAAATATATTAACTATATAATATTAAATTGAATAAATATATTAAATAAAATAAAATATTCAATATAATAATAAATACAATAAATATATTAAATATAATATTCAATGAAATAAAAACATTCAATATAATAATAAATATATTAAATGCAATATATTAAATATAACATTAAATTTAGTAAATATATTAAATATATAATATTAAATACAATAATACATATAAAATAATTATATTTAATCTTAAATTCAATAAATATAATACACTTACATTTAATAGACTTGTAAAATATTTATTAGATGTAATAAATATAACTCTTTTATAATAAATGGTTACATATGAAATATTTTAGATGCAATGAATTTGATATTTAATAACATTAGTTATTTATCTAAACTTCATAAATAATATATTTTAAAAGAAAAAAATTATTTACTTAAAATCTCTATTAATTTATTTATTTAAGTAAATTTGTATATCGTTCATATGCAGTTTTTTTTCTCTCTTCATTCACTTCTTATGTCTCTCTTGTATCTCATATCTCTCTTTTCTCTCTTCTCTCCCACTTATTTTTAATTAAAACTATTATATTGAATGTTAATAAAATTGCACTAATGTAAATTTTTAAAATCAATATTGAAAATAAAAAATATCAACTAATTATTTTAAATTATGATATAATTAGGTTGAGTTGATTATTAGTCATATTAGATAATTTTAAAAAAAATATTAAAAAGTTATTTTAAAATAAATATTTAATTTTTTAATAATTATAACATAACAATTTGTAATATCTTAAATTTATAATATAATTTTTTTAAAATATAATATATTAGATTGAAGTATTTTTGGATAATTTTTTTATTTTTTAAAAATAATAAAAAAATTATTTATCAAATTTTAATATAATATTTTTAATTGAAAGAATAAGATGAGTGAAAAAAACAAAAAGAGGTAGAAAAAAAAGGAAACCAAACACGTACACAGAGAAAAAGAGTAACGAGAAATAAATAATAAAAGAAAAGTAAAAAAAATAATTGTTTTATGTAAGAGAAATTTATTTTTTATTATTAAATTTTGTGTATGAACGTTAAATAGTTTTAATTGAAAAAATAAACTTACAGATATCAAAATATTAAAATATCTCTAAAAATCATTGTTTAAAATTAAATAAAGTTATTTAAAATTAAAAAATATCGTTTATACAAATAATTCTACCAATTAATTTATTTAAAATTTATAATAAGATATTCACTTTCATTAATCAAATAATTCTTTTCAAATAACTCCTTTTAAAGATGTTTAAAGAAGTTTGACTACTTAAATCAATATAAACATTAATTATTATTATTTTTTAATAAATTTATTATTCTTTTTCTATTAATATTTTTTATTATCTTAATATTATCTCAACTTAAAAAATTATTTCTTCTTTATATAATTAATATAATTAAAAAATATAAATATAATTAATAAAAGAGTAATTAATACAATTTTAAACTTTAATGTATTTAAAAATTATTTTTTTTCTCCACTGAAACTTATATTAACTTATTTTATTTCTCTGTAATAAAAATATGATTATAAAAAGATAATTAATCTAATCTTAAATTTTATAAAAATATATAAATAAAACCAAATATTTTCTAGAAACTTAAAATTGAAAAGAAATAGTGAGAGTTATAATTAATATACTCTCTCTTATTTATGTAATTAGATATTTTGGAACAAAATTATATATATATATATATATATATATATATATATATAAAATAATTAGTATTTTCTGATACTTTGGACAAATATAACATAGAGGAAGAAGAATAATTAACTCATCTTCTCTTAATTTTTTTAACTAATCTTCGATTCTTACTCTTATTAATTATTATTAAATAAATTAATACAAACACACATAATCATAAATATAATAAAAACATAAGGGAAAAAAATTAAAAATTAAGGTTATTGAAATTATAAAATTGTTAAGACTTTTTTTTTCTTTCAAAACTGTGTTTTATAGATATAGATTTTTTTAATATATTAATTCCACTCTAACTCAAAGAATAATAATAAATATATATTTTTAAAGTAAGTTTAATGAAATACATCCTATTTTTAATAAATATATTTTTTATGAAGAAGTAGAAATAATTAATTTAAAGATATATTATGAAAAAAAAGGTGAAAACATCAATCAAATATAACTTTATTTATTTATTTAACAAAACAGTAAAGTATCATAGAATGACTCAAGTACATTAATAACATCAAATTTTCATTAATACTTTGATAATGATTTTATTGTATATTGACTTAATTTTTTTAAAGAGAAATAATTACAAACATGATCACATGTTTAATCAATTGTTTTAAAGCAATAGAAAATAAATACTTTATTATAAAGTATTTTAATAATTTATGAGAAAAAAAAGATAAATATTATGAGAGGAAACCCATTATAACATGAATAACAAAACTTTTATATATAGAATATTAAACCGATCGTTGAATCTATAACATCAATACTATTGTCAATATTTATTTATATTTTAGAAAAGTACATTATACATTATTTTAAAATTAACCATTCAATGGAGTATTAAATAGTTTATAGTGTTTGTAAAAATATACAATTGATCTATTTAATATGAAATTTTAATTTACACAGTTAAATTATTGAAATTTAATGTAAATACAAAGTCTCATTAAATAAAATAACTCTACCAAGAGTTGCTCCGTGAGTAACATGATGTCCACCCATTAAAAATAAGTTAAACAAAAAAATATTGATTTAATTTATTTGACCAATTTAAATAACAAATTTAAAAATATTATATGTAGAATAAGTAAAATATTGTTTTGGTCCTTCAAAAATTTTAAAATTGTTTTTATTTTCTAAATTTGAAATTACTATTTTTCTTCGGTTCATGTTCATTATTCTTTGAAAAATAAAAAATTTATACTTTTATTTTTTATTTTAAGATAGATAAATAACATTTTTATTTAAAAGTGTATATGGTATATATCACATTATATATGTCACATGATATAGTAATTTATATTTTGTTAAACAATTATTCAAAAAAAACTAATGCTCTATTTTGAAGGTGGACCCTAGAACTTTCCAAAGTAATAAAAAAAATTGTGTTTTTCTCAGTTAAAGACATTGATCTGATTCACAGTCACTACCATCCTAATTTTCATGAAACAGTTTGAAAAATAAGAACGGTTTCATTCATTTATTTTAATATGAGAAGATGAATGCAGAGCTGGAATTGATGTGATGAAGCTGGCTATATATAGAGTGAGACTCATATCATCCATCCACAACCTTCTCTCTCTAATCTTCTTTCACTTTCAACCTTCTCCTTAGTCTTGCCATGGCTATTTCAATGTTGTTCAATTCCCTTTCAAACGACCCAAATGGCTATCTTCCTTATCCTTGGCAACGAATCCTAGATATCCCTGTAACTCCATCACTATCTCTTCTTATTCTTACCTGTGATGTTTAATAAACAAGACTTTCTAGTTTTGAGTTTTGAGTTTTATGTTTATAGAAAAACTAAGATTTTTCTTTTCATAATGTTTATTATACATATTTAAGTCTAATAAATGTATATATATTATTGATATTTGTTTTTATTTGTTGTTCTTGATGTGATTACAGACGAAGCTTGTTTACTACCATGACTATGAGACTGGATTTGTGATTTACGATTTTAGGCCATTTGTGGATTTTGGAGGGGGTGTTTTCCTGGAAAATGATATTGGGTTCAGTTTGACAGACGATGAAGTTCTTGAGCAAATAAACAACAACCTTCAGGATTTTCTGAGCGCCCCAAGACTTCTGCTTTTTGTGTGTGCATGCAGTGGAAGAAATTACTATGGCGTTGTTGAACAACCAGTGGTTCGATGCCCCTTGTGCAAGCGCATAACTAGCTTGTTTCCATGATTTAATCTTGTTCTCAAGTGTAAGGATAAGACAAATTTTGCTTTCATGACTTGTCATCATTTTTGGTGTTTTCTTTTTGTTATTCTTTTCTCATCTTCCACCCTCTGTTTCTCATTTTCCTCACAGGTTCCAAGAATGAACATGGAAAAGCTAAGAAGTTGTCTCCATAGGATGGAGGTCTATGAAGATTATATGATCTAAGAATATTTTTTTCAAGTATTATGTAGTTTTATTCAGTATTTCCTATCTATCATCTTTATTATCATGTAGAATTTTAAAAAACAAAATCTCAATATAAGACATTTTATAATATTAATAAACTTAATTATATATATATATATATATATATATATATATATATATATATTAAAATTATACATCATTTCATTTATTATTATCATATGTATAGATTCATAAATTTCACCTAATTTAATAATTTTTTTATAAATATCATATTTTTTTAATTATAAATATATCTTTTAAAATTAAAATTATAATGAATAGAGTTTCAAATTAAACAATACTTATTATTAATCTTATTAATATTATTATAATAAATTTAAAATTAAAGTATTTCATAATTATTTTTAGTTTTTTTAGATAAATATAATATTAGCGTAAAATATTTATTATTTATCATTAATAAGAATATTATTTAACGTTAGAATTGACTCGTAACGAATAATATAAAATATTTAAAATATTTTTTTAATTAATTTTTTATAAGATAAGTAAAAATACATAAGAAAATATTATTAAATTAAAAAAAAATTCATCCTTATATTTTTAAAATTAAAAAATTAGTCCTTAAATTTAAATATTATAAACTTAATTCTCAGTTAATTTTAAAATAAAAAATTTTATTACTAAAGTTTAAAGAATAAAATGATAGTTATGTGTTGAATTTAGGTATAATAAAATCAAATTTATATATTTCTAAAAAATGGAAGGCCGATTATATTAACTTTAAATAAGAATAAAAAATAAATTTATAAAAAAATCACAATTTTTTTTAAATTAAAATGAACCGTGAACGAGATTACATTTTAATATTATTTTTAAAATTATTGTATTATGTTGTGTTGTCCTAAGTGTCTTTTTCATTAATTTTAAGTAAAATACTTATTACTCGAAGTACCTTTTTTATAAAAATATAAATTACTAAAATATTTTTTATAATTATTTTATCAAATAACTTATAAAAATAAATAAAATAAAGTACAGTGAATAATATTTTTAAAATTTATTAAGAAAATTTTGATTGAAGTAAAAAATACTTTTTTTAAGGTATAAAATTAATGATGATTATTTTTGTTAAAGATGTTCTTAATGACGTTTTCATATTTTTATTTGTAAAGAAAAAAAATAATAGAAAGTAAAAGATAATTATCATACAATGACATAAATATCTATGTTATCAATATTTATTATATATAATAAAATTTATGTTACATAATTGATAATATTGTAAAAATTAGACAATACCTTTAATGTACTAGTGATTAATTATAATGATGAATTAGAATTTCAAAAATATTATTCTAGCCATATTATTATAACATATTTAAGACATCACATGAGTTGTTTCTTTCCTTAAAAAATTAAAATATATATTTATGATACAATGTCAATTTTAAGCAATTTTAGGTTGATTTTACTCGATTGGGAGTTTTTGTAATAAATTTTTAAAAAATCATTCTCTTTTCTCATTTATTTTTGAATGGTTGATTTATGTAAATTGCTTTATAAAACATTTATCAATAAGATTAGATATAGGGGTACCAAAATGGGCTAATCTGGCTCACACGGGTTGAGCTAAAAATAGGTGAGTTTAACCCGAACTTACTTTTTGGCGAGTCAAAAATTTTACAACCTGACTCAACCCACCACGGGTTGATGGTTTAGGTAGGTTGGCTTACTAACCTATATTTTTTTAATTTTTTAAATGATATATATATATATATATAGTTGCATTGTAAGATATTAACATAATGACATTATAAAGATATTAAGTGAATAAATTTAACATCCAAATCATTCAAATACTCTTAAATAACATTATAGTCTTAAAAAAACCAAAGTATCATCTTGCTACATAAATAAAATTAGCAAATAACTATAAATGTATAGATGTTACAGTTTTCAAATTAAAATTCATCAATCCAATCGTTTAGGTTATGGTACAAATTCATACCTTTGAAAGTTGTACAGGTGGTGTGGTGGACACATGATAAGACAAGTGACTCAAGTACGACGACGAAACGTATTGGTGCGGCGAATAACCGATAACAAGCTTGAGTGAGGGTTTGACTTGTGGCGGCAACGACAATGTAGGATAGAGGTGAGACGAGGATAACATCAATTAGGGTTTAAAGTATTATAATTATTTTTAAAATTTAAAATAAATGATTAATTAGGGTTAATATATTATTATAATTATTTTTAAAAATTAAATTTAATGGTGGGTTGCGGCCCAACCTACCATAACCCGGTTCCAACTCGTTTAACCTTGGGTTAAGCGGTGGTGGATCTTCTTGGGAGCTTTAGGGGGCCGTGGGGCCCATGGCTCCCCCAAAATTTTGTAACTCTAATGTAATTTATGATTTTAGCCCCCCAAAACTTAATGAACATTTAATATATTTACTTGTATATTTACAATTTTATCCTCCGAGTCTCTTCTCATATTTGTAACTCTCATATAATTTATGATTTTGTCCCCCTTAAACTTAATGATCATTTTATATATTTAAGTATATATCTACAATAACCTTTCACCATTTCATCTTCTTTCTTCTTTTATATTTATTTATTATTTATTAATAATATATTATTTGGCCCCCAAGATCAATGGTCAAGATCTCGCCATCGTTAAGTGAGTCGGGTTCATTTTTAGCCCATAATCGATAAAAATAAAAAAATCGAACCCAACCCGGATCAAACTCGTGGTGAGTCGGGTTAGCTCACGGGTTAGAACCCATATTAACACCCCTAATTATAGATAACAATTAAACTCATATCCATGGGGACTGATTCGTCTCCACTCCGAGTTTGACGAGAAAAAACCGAGTTGATCGGAGGCTGAGACGGGTTCGAGTTTTCCCCACTTTAAAAAGTCAGGGTGGGGGCAGGGATGGGTAATATAATCCTCACCCCGGTCTCGTCCCGCCCGGACTTTATATTTAAATTTAAATTTTAAAATATTAATATTTTAAAAATATTTCATTTTCTTTTTTTCATTACATATAAAGTAATTTTTTTTATATTTTACCATTATTATTTTTCTTACGCCCACTTTTTAATTCTTGTCTTTTTTAATCTTTTATATCAATAAGTTCATTACATTATTCTCTTTTTCTTACCTTTCACTTTTCCATATTTCCTTAATCTCTCTAATTAATTAATTTTTTTCAATCTTTTCAATCAATTTGATGAACACAAAGTTAATTTTTCTTATTTGTTATCTTTCTTTTCTAAATATTTTACATAAATATTAGTAGTAGCTAATATTATTTTATTTATAACTTATCTTTATTAGGTTTTATTATGTCATATTTTTTAGATCTTATTATTCTTATTGTCATATATCAAATTTTATCTTAATAAAATAATTATATTTTAGAGGATTAAAAAAATTGATAATTTAAATTTTTATTACTTTGAACTAATTAAATAAAAACTAACTTATTAAATATTTTCTTAAAAACTATATATTTCATATTTTTAAATAACAACTTAAAAAGGAATTAAATTATATATATTAATAGTAATATTATTATAAGTATTAAAATATTTGAATACAATATTATAATAATAATAATAATTATTATTATTATAATATAAGTATTTTACATTTGTATAAAGAAAAAAAATTAAATATTTCTTTTACACACATATTTTAATATAAATATAATAAATTAAAATATATATTTAAATAATAATTATAAATTATAAATATTTATTTATGTACAAAAAATACATAAAAATAGTAAAATTACTTTATTATAAATATAATTATTTTTTAAAAAATAATATAGATTAAGGACGGGACGGGACTAGGAAAACCCGAAATTCAATGGAGACGAAAATGAAGACTTAATTTCTAACTCCGACTAGAGTGGGAATTGGGAGGCAAAACCCGACCCACCGACCCATTGTCATGCCTAAATAAGATGCAAGCAACTTATCATAGTACATAGGATTACTCCAATCAAATATTATTTCAAACAACTAATATTTTATTTTTGTATTTCAATAAACAACTCTTATGGAAGATACTTTTAGATATTAAAATATTTTTCTTTTAAATAATAAATAATAATTAATTTAACGATGATTAATATGAATAAAATAAGAATTAAATGAATTAATTATTTATCTTGATATACGTTATGTTTGCAAATAATATTTATTTGTTGCCATTAATAAAAATTATTCTTTAATGTCAGACTTTCAATTCGTTACCAAAAATATAAAATATTTTAATAATATTTATTTTAAAATATTTAAAATAGTTTTTTTAATATTAAAAATATTTTTCATATGGCAAGTTAATATTATAAAAAGACCTTAAATTTAAAAATGATGAAATATGTTTTTTTTATTATGAAAATTGATTTTGATTCTTATATTTTCAAAGTTAACAAATTAATGTTAAACTTAAAAATTATGAACATAATTCTTTCTTTAACTTCATATCGAAAAACAATTGTTACCTAAAATTTAGGTATAAATAATAAATAAAATTATTATTAAAATTAAAAATACTATTTTTTAGAAGAAAAAATCCCCCTGAATATCTAAGTGCTTGTGTTTAGATTAGAGATGATCTGAGAGAATAGAAAAGAAAAAAAGAGTTGAAAATAAGATTGTTTGGATTGAAGAAAAGAGGGTAGAAAGTGAAAGAAAAAAGTGAGAAGATAATAGAAAATAATATTAATGTGATTAATTAAAAAAAATTAAAGTGATAAATGATCAAAATATCCTTATTATAAATATTAATA